TGAAAAGCATTCACAAGTTTCCAACATACACAATCTTAATAACATCATTATCATCATTATCATCATCATCATCATCATCATCATCATCATCATCATCATCATCATCATCATCATCATCATCATCAACATCATGAAATCATGGAATCAAACCTTCAGTCTTCAAATATAAATCTTATTTGTGTAGAGCATCCGTTACTGTATTTGAAATGTAAGATTGAAATGGTTCACAAACTTTCTAGTTATTTCCGGTTGGTCATGTTGAAGTTCCGGTCATATGTTAAACTGATATGGATCTTGAGATATTAAACCATTTTACGCTTAGTTTTTATTTGCTATGAGACAGAAGCATCAGGACTTATAAATTAACCTTTTCCGAATTTGTATAAAGTTTCTGGATTAGTACAGATTTACGAGTGTCTCCTACAGAAGTGCATCGTTTCAACACTATATCAATCTATAAATATACGGCAATGTGATCAAAATAGTTTGTCTGTTCGTTATTTTTTGGCAACAGTTCTGGAACACTGAATATGGTTTTCAAAATAGAAAAGAAATATTCACTAGCACATTTGAATATTCAAGTATATTTTTCAAAAAGATTAGCTTTCTTCGACTCAAATTATCCACTCGTTCCTGGTGTAGATCCAGTTTTGCATATACACTTTTCATACTATTCTGGATCTATGTAAGTAAATTCACAGGAAATATGTGTATATAATTATATATATATTATGTTGGGGAAACTCTAGGATAAATCATGCAGTTTTAACACACATGTCCTCACAATCAAAACTAGCAACTACATCTAACCTTTCTGTAACTGCTTATGCAATTCAGAGCACATATATAAGACCGATAATATTATCTTTCGTCAAAAACAGGAATTTAATAGATAAAACATAATTCATATGGTTATTTAAAAAATCCCAAGAAACGATTACTTAGTATAATGGTTTTGTATATCTAAAGCAAAAGTTAAAGGAGTAAAGCTTCAATAGTTATTATATGTGATGAAATTTTGTCTCTGAGAGATGCTTATCAAATGAATCTTAAATGGTATAGCATGATATAAAAGGAATTCAACTAGAAATCATTGTTCATCCCACATTTCTCTATCTGAGCAACTGAATAAATAGCTGTTCATAGCTTTCAAGCTATAGTGATATATAGTTACTCTGAGTGACGCCAGCTTTTCCGATAAATACAGAGCTTTGGATAATTACGGTTGAATAAATCGAATATATACAGTCAAGGACGGAATATTTCTATTGTAATGATCTGCTAGTCATGTTATGTTCATACTTATCACATTTAGTAGCCTAGTTCACGTGTTTACTAGACGAAAAAAGTAATCTTATTCTCAAGGACAATGTATTGGCTAGTTAATAAAGCGCTGAAATAATGTTTAATTATAAATTAAAGCATTGTGATGTATGTGCGCTTATAAACATTACTGACACAATTGTAAGTTGGTCAATGCTGACTTAAGTTTACACAGGGGTTTAATCCATCTACCTAAATTATTAATTTTCCATGTATTATAGGTCTTGGTAATATGGCATAATGTAGTTTCATAGTTCTGAAAAGTGCCAATTTAAAATAGGGTAGTGTTGTAATTTGCTATTTTTTATTCGGTTCAGGGAAATTGCTAAGTAAAAATGACTAAACAACTATTCTAGTACGAACAAAATGTATTTTGAAAGCGATAGTACGGTCAATGATATACATAAAGCAAGAATAGTTATTTCCAAACAATGGAATCCTAGAAGACGATAGAAGTACAGCAAAAAAACTTAATATTGAATGGAAACGAGAAATGAAGTAGAATGACATTGTATGCATAACAACAAACATGAACTTAGGATATAGGAAAAAATGTAAACTAAAAACAATGGGACAACAACAGTCATGAGAAATACGACCTACGAGAAAATGTTTTCAAGGTTATAAATACAGTGGAGAAACTAACTAAAGAACTTGAGGTCTTCGTGCCAGGTGCACAGAACTTTATTTATTTGTTTTGTTGAAACATATTCAGGACGAATAGTCTTGCTATTTCATATTAAATGTATCACATTTGTTTATTAAGGGACATTTGCTAAGTGATTAACCCACTAGATTAGTTCATAGTATATGAGTAATTGTCCAGAAATCAATGTAGACGATTTGACCAGCAAACTGTTAAGTAGAATTCTGATTTCCCAACGTAATTTTCTTTGATTGTTTTTAAAAACAAATAGTTACTATTTACTCAAAGGATTTGTAAAAACGACGTACTACTATACTGATCAATTCAGTCTACGTGAAAAGTGTACCTCAACAAAGTAGGAAGAATACAATCATATTATTGAATGAATTGATATATCATCATTGAGTGAACCAATGAATATGAACATGCAACGTTCATATCACAATGAAATACAACGAAGTCAACCAATATGTAGCAAAATAGAAAATTCACAATTTGAATAACAATATATCTGAACAATCTATAGAAAAACAGTATTTATTCAATAGTTTCATCTCTTAAAGATAAATCAGATATATCTATACTACTAACAAATCAATTTAATGCTCCATCTTCAGTTCAATCAACTACAGGAATAAATGATATTTATACTGTTTTACCATTACTTTCCAATTCCATTCTATGGTTATCTCATTTAATGAAAAATACTTACTTACTTACTTACACCTGTTACTCCTCGTGAAGGAGCATAGGTCGCTCACCAGCATTCTCCATCCAACCCTGTCCTGGGCAATCCTTTCCAGCTCCTTCCAGTTGTAATTCATCCTTTTCATATCTGCTTCTATTATCCGACGTAATGTGTTCTTTGGCCTTCCTCTTTTCCGCTTCCCTTCAGGATTCCAAGTTAGAGCTTGCCTCGTGATGCAGTTTGACGATTTGCGTAATGTATGTCCTATCCATTTCCATCGTCTTTTCCTAATTTCCTCTTCAGCTGGAAGTTGGTTTGTTCTCTCCCACAGAAGGCTATTGCTGATGGTATCCGGCCAATGGATGTTGAGTATCTTGCGTAGACAGCTATTTATAAATACTTGTACTTTCTTGATTGTGGTTGTTGTAGTTCTCCAAGTTTCAGCTCCATACAGTAGAATTGCCTTGACGTTCGTATTGAAGATTCTCACTTTGATATTGGTTGAAAGTTGTTTTGAGTTCCATATGTTCTTCAATTGTAGGAATGCGGCCCTTGCTTTGCCAATCCTCGCCTTTACGTCTGCATCTGAACCTCCATGTCTATCGACGATGCTTCCCAGATATGTGAAGGATTCTACATCTTCCAGAGTTTCGCCATCAAGGGTGATTGGATTGCTGTTCTCCGCTTTGAATTTGAGGACCTTGGTTTTCCCTTTGTGTATGCTGAGGCCTACTGATGCAGAGACTGCTGCTACACTGGCTGTCTTCATCTGCATCTGTTCGTGTGTACGTGATAGGAGGGCTAGGTCATCTGCGAAGTCCAGATCGTCTAATTGGTTCTGAGCTGTCCATTGTATTCCGTGTTTTCCTTCAGATGTCGAGGTCTTCATAATCCAGTCGACCACCAGAAGAAAGAGGAAGGGAGAGAGTAAACAGCCTTGTCTGACTCCGGTCCTTACTTGGAATGCATCTGTCAGCTGTCCTCCATGCACTACTTTGCACTGTAGTCCGTCGTATGAGTTCCGGATAATATTGACAATCTTCTCAGGAACTCCGTAGTGTCGAAGAAGTTTCCATAATGTCCTCCTATCTACACTGTCGAATGCCTTTTCATAATCAATGAAGTTGATGTATAGTGACGAGTTCCACTCAACTGATTGTTCGACGATGATCCGTAGTGTTGCAATTTGGTCTGTGCACGACCGATCCTTTCGGAATCCAGCTTGTTGATCTCGAAGTTGGGCATCTACTGCATCCTTCATCCGGTTCAGCAACACTCTGTTGAAGACTTTCCCTGGTATTGACAGTAGTGTAATGCCTCTGTAGTTTTCACATTTGCTCAGATCTCCTTTCTTTGGAATCTTGATGAGGTGTCCTTCTTTCCAGTCCATTGGCACTTGTTCCTCCTCCCAAATCTTTTTGAATAGAGGGTAAAGCATGCTTGTGGTTACTTCGACGTCTGATTTCAGTGCTTCAGCTGGTATGTTGTCGGGTCCTGCTGCTTTCCCGTTCTTGATTTGTCTGACGGCCATTCTAATTTCTTCCGTCGTTGGTGGGTTGACATCTATAGGAAGATCTGTGTGTGCTGCTTCGATGTTCGGTGGATTCATTGGAGCCGGCCTATTCAGGAGTTCCTCGAAGTATTCTACCCATCTGTTTCGCTGTTGTTGAATTTCAGTGATTGGCTTGCCTTCTTTGTCTTTGACCGGCCTCTCTGGTTTACTGTATTTCCCTGATAGTTTCTTCGTTGTATCGTAGAGCTGTTTCATATTTCCTTCTCTAGCAGCTTTTTCTGCCGTCGTTGCTAATTCTTCCACGTATTTCTTCCTGTCGGCTCTAATGCTCCTCTTCACTTGCTTGTTTGCTTCTATGTATTCAGCTTGTGCTTGGACTTTCTCTGCTCGTGTTCGGCTGTTGTTAATTGCTGTCTTCTTGTTCTTCCTTTCTTTGATCTTGTCCAGTGTTTCTATAGAGATCCATTCCTTATGATGGTGTTTCTTTAGGCCCAGAACCTCTTGACACGTTGAAGTCAATGTTTCTTTGATGCCTTTCCAGTTGTCAACTATCAATGCCTCTTTCAATAAAATTTGTCATATGATCAAATACATAGTTTACATGTTAATCATTTCACAGAGGTAAATGACAAATTTTATTTGGCATTTAGATTCTAAAAAGTAGTAAAAGAGCAACAAAATTTGATAACCATGGTACTACGTTTTCAAATGATGGTTTTCAACCATTTTCTAATAGGGCATTTGATCCGACAATGATTAAACAACAATCTGCACAATCAGATCTTGCAGTCCAACATTAAAATTTAAGTGAATAAAGCATATATGACCGTATGGATGCATATAGATTACCCAAATCTGACTCAAATTCAGAACAAGTTTTAACTGATGGAATAAATGAATTGACCTCAAACTTTTGTGATATGAAACGTGTCAGTCATAATGGATTGGATTGGATTGTTTGTGGTGACAACAGCAGTGGAAAACATTATGGTATTTTAGTATGTAATGGTTGTTGTGATTATTTTAAATGATCTGTCAGGCGTAAACTTATCTACAGGTATAGACATTTTCAAAGAAATGAGTTTTATGTTTGTCTTTTTCAGCTGAAATTCCATAAACCATGTCCATGAAACTTCATTTATAACACTCATTCTTATGATCTCTTTACCTATTAAGGTACCATTCAGTCAACTTATACAGGTTTTATACGATAATCATTATTAATAATTCTATAATATTTTCACAATTGAATTTACGAGTTGATTTGAGCTAGACCACCAATGAAAGCCTGAAGGCATAGGATAGCCGTTTCGTACTAGCATGGGACTCATCAGCACTGCACATCCACGATCCTTCACGTGAGACTCGATCTCAGGACTCTCGATCTCACGCACGAGCGTTTGATCTCTAGACCACTAAGCCGACATCCAACGGTATTAAGATGTGTTTTCTGGAGTTCTAATGTGGTGCCGTGACCAGTGGAGTCCAATCCGTGTCAGGTAGAGACAAGTTCCGAGTCCAAGTCTCGTGTTAGGGATCGTGGATCAGACTGCTAAGGGATCTCATACTAGTGTGAATAAGTAGAGCGGTGCTTCCAGGTTTTCAATTTTGATCTATCTTAGATTGATTCGTGAATTAAATTGTGAAATCAGTACAGTCTCTACGAAACCCCATGCTGATAATTCTATAATCCTTGAAGAATTCATTTTAGAATACCCAGCCAATCTACTATATCTTCGATGCTCAAAACCTACTAAATTTATGGGGTTTTCTTTCAGCATTTCTTGAAAATTTAGAATAATAATGAATTGGTCTTGTGCCAATTAACCTAATGACATTTTCGTTGTTGCCATAGTTATAATACAACATCAGCATTCCAAATCTCTATTCAGAATAAACAGAACTATTATTGAGAAGGAAATTTAAAATCGCTATATTTTGTGGTGTATATTCATTGTGTGGATTAATAAGTTATTACCTGAACTAGTGTGTTATATCAAGTGAACGATAGTTTTCATTATTTCAGCCACTCACAATGAACGCCAACCAAGAAAGAGTTCACACTTTACCGCTCAAGGTAATTCAGCACCACCTAAGCGTCAAGCACTAGAGATATCACATTCGCCAAATGACAAATCATTTACTTCAGAATCTGCTAATAGCGAACTGAAGAACAATAAGTCGTTTGGCGAATCAATTAGCGTAGCTAAAGGATAGTTCAAACCATAGTGCTTCTTCTGACTATACATCACTCAATGAAAACAATCTATCGGAAGGCGTTAAAACTTTAAAAACATTTTTTGCAAACGAATCAGGGTGGATTCAAAAACACCGTTCAAGCATTCAATGAACCGAAATTTGTTGACACAACTAAACTCCACCATAATCTAATGCGAAACAATTTAACTTTATGCTTTACTAATGCTCAACCAAATACAATTTCGTCCACCACTGAAAACTCAAACAACTTTTGCTTCATCCCACCTGTCTCGGTAATAAACGATACGACTAATGATCATCCATTTTATATGAACCAGTTTCAAACAATTAGTTTATCGAAATCAGAGCCAACGAACACAACCTCAGATAACCTGGACCATAGAGCCCCTAGACCTTCATCGTCTTCGTATTCAGATGTAAAAATGCAAAAGATTTATTTACATTTATCAAATATTTTCAATTTATCTAATAACCTCGAAGTGACAAATGGAGAAATCCTAAGTTCAAGCAGAAATGATACAACTGATGGTGCGACATGAAAGACTTTGGAATATACAGACAATTTACCGTAAAGTAAACGTCAGCAAACTTCAGAAAATCTCACTACTCACACAGAAAGTGAAGATGTTGGGTTAAGCATTAACAAGATTTTGAAAAATCTTCATCATTCTTATTTGAGTGACTGTAGTTGTGGTGGTGACGAAATTTCAGGATCGAAATCTACAAACCATTTACCCTCAAAATAACTTTAATTCTACATCAACTCCAAATAATTATTTTTTTACATAAAAACAATGATGACACTATTCCAATAGTCTGTCGAGAATCAATAAACAAAAGTTCAGTTGAATCAGATAAACAGAACAAAGGTGTAAGTCTTTGAAAATTGCTTCTAATGACTAATGAATAACTTTGTAAAGTGTATAGTTTAACTCTTTGATCGATACAATATCATCTACCAAAATCGGATTCTGGATTTTGATCAAGTTGAGTAGTTTGTAGAATGTCGTATGATGTGATTCATTGATCAAGTACATGTTCTTACATTTAACAGAGTTCAGTGTTTGCAATAAATGAATCACGACTCACATTGACATTGAAATGAAACAGGGAAATTGAATAACATTTAAGGATAGATTTGATGTTTTAAATAATCATTTGAAGAAGAAAATACTTTGATAATGAGTGTCAGTTTTCATGGTGCATAACATTGTTGACATTTGTTTATGGAGCGATCATTGTTATTTAAAGAGATTTGGTCTGTCATTGAACTCACAGCAACGAATATGGTTGATACGTTGAAATATTTAATCGTAGAATATTTGACGATATTTGTGTATTATGTACAAAAAGCCTTCAATCATCCATCTACATCTCACGATTTGTTCTGTAATATAGTTAGCTGTAAGCCATCACTTCAATGTTTTACAAAAGCCGTGCTATTTGACTTGCTGAAAATCTTCTCTCCTTCAGTCATCTGCAACAATTCACACATTAATTTTTCACCACACATTACTAACGAGCAATCTCGTTGGTAGTATTCATCACAAGTTAGCACTATGTTATCGTTGAGGCCGAAGCAAAGAAATTGCTAACTAGCAAGTTAGATTTGTTGAGAAATGGAAGTTTCTTTATTGGACTTTTCAAAACAACCAAAAATCATCTGTAGTTTCACCTGTTACCATGTTCTAGGTCTTTTTTAGGTATCTAAAACAGAAGGCAGCTTTTCATCCCTACATTATACTTAAGTTCACGTTACTGAATTTCAGTTTGAAGTCAATATGTTGCTACATTAAATTGTTTTGTTTTTATCATTCAATTGTATAGATTTATAGGCTTAAAGATTGATTGATTCTGCAATACATTTTACATTTACCTCATTGAAAAAACGAGACATTTAGAAGATACTTAGATAAAAAGTAGTACAAAAAAGATAAGTAAACTATTTCCTCGTCTTATTTCAATATCAAGACAACACATACCGTGCTTTGTATTACTGAATCCGATGTAAGCTATTTCAATGACAAATGAAAAGTTATCGTATTCTTGACTTCAAAACTTTTGAAAGCCTATTTATTGAAATGCTTTTTGCAACTCAATGAATGATAACAGAAGGGAAGTTATCTGATAGTAAAATGCTATTCATATTCATTTTTGGCATAGGTTAGTTGTAGTCAATCTGTGACCTCATGTCTTGTGGATTGATTGTTCCACAGATATGAATATAATCTCACTTAAGAGTATCTTTTCGTAAACTATTGTCTTCGTTACTGTCAATGTGAACACTTGATGACTCTACTGAATTGTATAGAAACTGAATATGAGAAATGAATTCACCTTCAAAACTTTTCAAATACATGAGTTCATTTGAAAATTCAAATTTGATATGTGACATTCATCCAAGCCAGTACAGTAAAATACCAACCAAATCTGTTGTCAGTTCTCGAAAAAGTGTCATTCTCACCAACATTAACGATAAATCTTATGGATACATTCGCCCTCATAATTATTGATGAGCAACGGTCTTTGAGACATTTAGTGTAACAGATTTAAAGTGATGTATATATGTATGTATGTAGTATATTGTGTCAGTCAATACCAGTTTATAGAGCATGAAATGACCGAATTCCCATTGGTCTCATTCAATTTTGCGCTCGCCTAATACATAGAACTCCATTCCGTTAGAAGTGATTGCACTAAAACTTAGATTCATACCCATTTGGTTTAAATGTAGTACCCTTAGAAACTGAACTACCATGTCGTCAAATTCAACATATTCCTATATTCAAACTTAGATCGATGCATGATTTGATTGAAATTCATGACTGATTATAAACAATCCTTATGCTTAATAGTAAATCATGGTTCATCGTTTTGTTCGCATCAACCATTTACTGTTTTATTGTTATTACTGTATTTCTAATACATAAATCAGTGTGATAATAGAATCCTTTATGAAAACTTATTCTACTTATATCCCAATTTAGTTTTTGACTATTTAGATGAAAAAGAAACGAGAGACTTATGTCCTGAATAGAATAATTCAGCAAATTGAATAGTACGTGAAAGTCTACAGATTACCATCATCATTAACCTCAATCGAGTGTAATGAAATTAATCATTTAATTCCAAATGATAAATCACTTAAACAAAAGTTTATATTTAACAAGTCCAAATACTGTCACCATATCAGATTAGGTTCAATCTTCCTTTAGTACCATTCCAATATGTACCTTGAATAATCTCGATAAATGGTTTCATGTTCAAACCAAAGATCAGCTTCAATATTCCAGTGAAATCTTATCTTAATTAATATCAGACTCTGCAAATCAAATGATTGTCTTCATTGATTATATATTTGAGTCAAATACTTCAGTTACAAGATGATGTGCTGGAAGTCAAATCAGAAGTATTTTATTGAAAGACTTTTAAACCCAGTTGCTGGAATTCCACATTTTGCTGGTCTATCTAAGAAAGATCAGCTATTCGAAAGGTTTAGAAATATGTTGTACCTTAATGCAATAAAATGTGATAAGTAACTATGTTTACGGGGAAATCGGCCTGCTTGAGCATCTGGGCTACCTTTCCTGCCATCTAGATATTTCGACAATTATCTATTTTTGTTGTTTTAATATATCATTATGTCTATTAATCGCATAAGCTATCCTGGTGCATTTCTAAAATGTACACCTTTCGTTGTCAAAGTTACAAAAAGCTCAAAAGAGAGAATTGTTGCTGGCAATATACAACGAAAAGAATGTGCATTATTCAGATATTCATTACTGGACTGTCATCTAGCTGCGATCACTCAGTTTTATCGCGCGGACCGACCAAGAGAAAGAAACGGAAACTTGTTGAAATACTTTGTGCTGAGAATTCTATATTGTACAATAGTAATATTGAATAAAGCTAATAATAATAATAATAATATAATTAAATAAATAATTATTCATAAACCATGTTATAACTCTTTATTTTTACAAGGTTCGTTTTCAGCGAAAAACCGAATAAGGCTAAATACTATCAAAGAGATTCATAATTATAAAACTAAGCTTGTTATCAGCATTTTCGTATGACCATATTCCCTCCATGATAAATCTTGATTTTGTGTTTGTACTTTTAAGTAACATTTTACTGTACTTCAATTATTAAATGTTTATGACTTCTAAAAGATCATTGAAAAAAGCTTCTAAACTAGATGATGCATTTTTGGTTCGAACACTTATGGGGCTAATAGTGAATGATTTTGAGAAACTCGTGGTTGGAACAAAACGGTTGTTTAAAGTTTCCCGGATCTCAGTTGTTCCGCAGTCGATGTAATTTTTTTCGTGATAGAACAACAACGTCGGTGAGAGGTAAAAAGTAAAATCAGTATTTCAGATGATCCCGAAGTTCTTTCAATAAGCGTTCGGATTATTTCCATTCACTTTGTTGTTAAAATAAGGGAAAACAAAAAAAATATAGTTCATTTATATGAAGTTATTAACTTGAATCCGTATTATAAGTGAAATGAAATTGTCAGATAAATCATGCAAAGAATAATTATGGTCAACATGGGGTAACGGAGAGAGAGAGATAATATTGTGATTACAAATCGGGAATTACGTCATATACAGAATAATATGAATTAGGTCAAATATACTAGATTCAGGGTGGATATTAAATAAATACCTCAATTAAGGTTATCACGTGTAATAATACTAATAATAATAACAAGTTTGGGACATAAAATGAGCAATAATCACATTACGTCACTACATTATAAGATTGATTATTAGCTAGTTGGCCCCAGATTTGGCCAGGGTAAAAGAAGTGACTGAACACACTTCTTTTGGATACAAAACTCTGGCTTTTTGATCCGAATAACAATTGCTTAAGCAGTTTGTAGTATGTATTAACAAACTGATATGCAGAATATGATCCATGACAGGAATTTATCTTTCTCAACAGTCTAACTTGACAAGCCTATTCACCTCAATCTTCAAAACGAATAGTTTTTGATCATTAATTCCCATGCATCTGTAATAGAAATGAATAAGAGTAATGTAAGGATTCTCTTAAACAAAATTCAAGTTGATTGATACCCGCTTGCATCCACTGAATGTTATTGAATACAAATGAGATAATCCGCGCAAATCTTATCACTGAAATCCGGTTAACCTACTTCATTTCCACCATTTAGTTAATCAGTTTAACAAGGAACCTTCAATATTGAATCCTTCTGTTCAGCGATTTAGTGAATACATGAGGAACACATGATTGCTGATCAACACAGATACATTTTAGATCAGGTCAAAATACAACTACAACAAACCATTTTCACTATCGAACAAGGAAAGTGAATCCACCGATACGTATGTACTGCGTTACAAATTACTGCAATTAATATAGGAAAACAAATTAGGTATCGTCATGCAGGAAAACAAAGTCTGTGTACTAAACAGTAACTGGAATTACAAAATAGTGGACAAATTACAAATAAAACGAATGCGTGTGGGATAATTGGCTACAGAGTTCTTCAGTTGATAGTCAAGTAATT